ACCCCCTCCCCTTGTGATTGTAAGCCGCCCTGAGTCCCCTCAGGGAGAAGGGCGGCCTATAAATCTCAATAAAATGTATAAAAAAATGTATTAAAAATGTTTGAGTTTGAAACAGACAACAGTCTGTTAAGATAATTGGTCCTACTGAATAGTGTCAAAGTAAGCTCTGTGTACTTATCCACTATTGTGGTTAATTGTTTTGTAAAATAGCAATTTATAGATTCTGTAAAAGCAATGCTCAGCAATATTGGCATCTTAAAAACATTTCTTAACACTTTATGTATTTGTTTTGTAAAATTCCAGTTTTAAAGGAGGGGGGCAGAATATGCCTGCTAGCCATGCATCCATCCATATAGTATATTATAAAGAAATGTCCTTCCATCTTTTGGATGACTTACTATCTATGGATGAAATTATGTCATATGATTTAGAGTCCTGATCCCTAGACAAAGAGGACAAGACCAGTTAGTGCATCCTTTGAGGAGATGATATGAACCATTGTATTAAAATAATATAACTTTTCTTTTCTTTTAGGGCATTACCAGCCTTAGTGTGGCACCGGCAAGATTGGTCAATTCTTCATTCATACGTACATCTGAATGATGAGGAATTAGAAGCGTTAAAAATGTGTCCAGGTATTACTGATAATGGATATCAATCAGCGTTAGATAGCAGAACGACTAAATTAACTTTTGTGGTAATAGAAAAAAGAGTTCATTATTTATAAAATCTATATAACCATCCATGTCTTTACGGGGCAGATAATATATTCAAATATTATAAACAATATTAACAAAGGGTCACTGCTATAGTGATTAAGGCTCAGATGTTCAGAAATGTACTGGACAATTCCTCCTATTTATCTATTGCAAAAAGTAGTTGCTTGGAGTTTCTTGTAGAATAGTGGAATATGAATATAGAATTCTGTACCTATTATTTATTAGGTAAATTCCTGATATTAGTAGTTGTGCAATGTTAGCATGCACGTTTAAGACTATAAAATGAATAAAAGTTATTTTAAACTTCTTAAATTCATATAAAAGTGATGGAAGAGAATATTTGTAGCTCAAGTTGTTTGTTGTTGGATATTTATTATACTTGTATGCCGCCCTATTCCCGAGGGACTCAGGGCGGCTAACAAACAAATGGGGAAGGGGGAAATACAAAAAACGAACAAGACAAAAACAAGATTCTCCAATTGTCAGGTGTGAGATAACTTCGAAAGGCATCACCTG